TGACTGTGTGAGATTGTTGTGATCTAGAACCCTTATGGATCTTTTTGAGCAACTTCTTACACTATTATCGTATGACTAGGTTCATAACAGTAGTAGCAAACTACCCTCAACCCTAGATTATTAGAAGTTAGAGTTCCACTTCAATAATTGACCTGTGACTGAGATTTAGTCATGTATGTTTTTCTGACTAGCAAGAAAATTAAGTTGTTGCACGTGTGAGGCTTGAGAACTCAAAATAGTGCACAAACACTTGAATGGAGGCTTCCCTCAGAGTAGTAACTCTAGTGTCAGATATGATCTGTGATTTGACATCTTCATACTAAGAATTGAGGGCAGCTAGAAAGTCTCTTTGGAGCTGATGAATACAAACATCGGTACTGAAGGGCAATAGTGCATTCAATTCTTCGTATACACACATTTAAAGTGCATGTGATGTGTTAAGTGGCTAATCATTTTGTTCAGCTAGATAAAACTCCTTTAACACATCAAAGATTCAAGAAATATTTTCTCCCAAAAAGCACAAACGTCAATCCTTCATCACATCTATAACATAGTCGCAATGAGTAATATAACCAAATTTATCAGGTTCGATATAGTTTTGTATTTGTATCAAAAGTTGAGCATCCACTCTTATCCACTCAGAATAATTTAACTCAGTCTCAACTAGAGCATTATCAATGTAGTGACTCTCTTAAGATATACTTCTTAAATTGAGTCTCACAATTTTATTCTAGTAAAAATAATTGATGTCATTTAAATTTTCATATGTAATCTTAGCCACTAATGAAACCAAATCTGTCACAAGTTGTTTTTGTTCACCTGCGATAATAGATGACATTTAGTGCCGAAGGACGAGCCGAAGGAGTGACCAAAGCACTAGGGGAAAAATAACTTGATGACCAACAATTAAATGATAGTTGAATAAAGAAAAAAAAGAAACTGGCGTAGCCAAAGAAGCCTAACTAAGCAGCCGAACACAACAACCAAAGAAATCGACCCAAGCAGATGAAGCAAACCGAGCGACCAAAACAAACCAAAGCTTTATCGATGCCCCAACCTCGTTGATGCAGATAGGACGGATGAAGCAGATGCATACGATGACAGATGGAGGGTACAAATGATGCAAGATGAAGACAAAGCAGATGCAGACAATGTGAATGAAGCCGAATTTGTTCTTGACACTTAGCAATATTGACAACATCTCTAGAGATCCAAACAACCCCAACGAAACAAACGACAAACAATTTCCAGATGGTAACGTTGAAGATGAACGACGCGGTCGGGAACGATTCAACTAGGCTCTAATATCATGTGAAGGGAAACATCACTCTTTCTCTTATTCTATTAATCGAAAAACATATGTTACATATTTTTATATACTCCCACGTTTATAGATTAGGAATATCTCTAATTTAAAAACAATGATGTAATTAGATCTCCTTTATGTTGTCCAATATCAAGCTTCCTAATATACACGCTTCCTAGTAAACAAGCTTTGGATTTATTGCTTTCCATAACAGAAATCATTTGGTTTGCTACAAATCCTTTTCCACTACTTCTTGATTTAATCCTAGCCATTCAGCTGTCCTGGTTTGATAACAACATCTTCCATTCCTTTACGCCTTATAACTAGTTTATATTAGAATAATACATGTCTCCTAATGTAGTGAGGATGCTTGAAGATTTTTCCTTCTAATAATTCCTATTCATTTGTAGCTCGTTATGCTGGTGTTCTGGAGTACTAACTTGTAGGAGAAGGTTGTAGCTGATGAAACAGATGAAGTCTTTACGGTATCAGAGCTTCTGCCTGGTCGTCCTTTTTTTCTCTAGTCTTATATTTTCTGTTTCCCATCTGTCTTCATGGATAATCCAGCTGTTTATACTATTAATTCAACAAACAATCTTCCATCGCATTTAACGGAACTTGCAATTACCTCACAACTAAAGTTCTTATGTCAAATATTAAAAAAACTTTCCACACCCAACTTACACCAGATAACTTTCCCACTTGGAGATCTCAGCTTCTCAAATATTTTGAGCTAATGGCTTCCAATTCTATTTGGATGGTTCAATGCACCTCCAGCTGCTACTATTCTCATATAAAGTACAACTATTGTTACAAATCCGAACTACACCCTTTGGATCCTAATAGATCAAAACTTGGCATCAGCTATTTATTCGACCATCTCAACATCCATTCTTCTATATTTTCTCAATATAGATTCATGCATGGAAATCTGGCTTACTCTGAATTTCGGTTACAATCTGCAATTTGTGCTCACCTCATCCAACTTAAGAACGAGTTTCATCACATTTCAATGGGAACAAAAAGTATGATTGAATCTCTCTAACCAAATTAAAGCCAAGGTAGACTTAATTGCAGCATCAGAAACACCCCTGCACCTAGAAGACATTATTTTATATACTCTCGGTGGCTTACGTCTAAGCTATCAATCATTCAAAACTGTAATTAGGACAAATCTCAACCCAATAAATCTTGATGATTTATAATTATTATTATGTAGTTGGTTGGTTGAAGTGGAGGAATGCTTCAGGCCTTTTGTGTGATAGAAAAGTACTGCTTAGACTGAAAAGAAAATTTTATAAGAGGGCGGTGAGACTTGCAATGCTCTATGGCGTTGAATGTTGGCATTTAAAAGAGAAGCATAATACTAGGTTAAGTGTTGCTAAGATGAGAATGATTAGGAGGCTGAGTGGCTTTACACTTAGAGACAAAATGCGAAATGATTATATCTGTGATAGGGTTGGTGTAGCTCCAGTGACGGACAAAATTTGAGAAAGCTATCTTTAGATGGTTTGGTTATATTAAACGTCGACCGTCTGATGATCCGATTAGGAAACTAGATATTTTAGATTCGACTTATGTTAAGAAAGACAGAGGTAGACTTGGAAGACTTGGGATTATTGTATAAAAAATGATCTTAACTTATTAGAACTAAATTAAAACATGGCACTGATGCAATGGACAAAATGGATTCATGTAGCAGACCCCACATATCGGTATTAAGGCTTTGTTGTTGTTGTTGTATTATGTAGTGAATAAATCAGTCAAGCAAACGAAGTAGCTCGGGCCACCCAATTCACAAACTTGCTGGATTTTTATCTTTCATTGGTTATGGATAGAGGCAGGAATCGAGGCCGGGACAAAATTATACTTCAGCTTGCAGTTGCGCCAACACCACAATCCACTACCATGAATATTATAATCGCCTTGTTGTCTCTCATCAATATTGAACAACCGCAAGTCTAGATCTTTCATCTGTCATTAATCAGCTCCGCCAAAGAATGCATCACCCAGCCTCCATTCATTTTGGGTAATTAAAGTGTGTCCTGCGCTACATCAAAGCCACCCTATCATACGGCCTGCCCGTGCACCATGGCCCTCCTTTTCTATATGCGTACTCAAACTCCAACTGGGCTGGTGACTGTTGATGGAAATTGTATGTTCCCTGAATCAGCTCTAATCTCTTGTATAGTCAATTAACTGTTCCTAACTCTTAAACAGAAGCTGAATATCGTGCCCTTGCAACTACCTGATTATTTTATTTTCGCCAGTTACTGTTCAAATTCGGAATCACTATAAATTCTCATCTCTACTATGACAATATTTCAGCTCTTTCTATCGCCAACAATTCCATTTTTCATGCTCAAACAAAGCACATTGAGTTTGATTTTCACTTTATTTGTGATTGTATCAATTCAAAGTATATTTTGTACATCATGTGAATACTCAAAATCAAATAGAATATAATTTAATCAAATCTCTTACCAAAAATTGCTCTCGAACACTGCAAAGCAAATTAACGATTTCAAAGATTTCTTAATTTGAGGGGCGTTGATAGCTACGGCACTTATGAAACCATTGGTCTGCTGCCAATGCAATTATGAAATCATTTAATCCTGGCCATCCAGCTGTCCTGGTTTGATTGCAACCTCTGCCATTCTGTTATATCTTATAGTAAGTTTATATTAGTTAGAACAACACAAGTATTCTAATGCGGTTAAGATGAACTAATGTTTTTCCTTCTAACAATTCCAATTCATCTGTAGCTTGTTCTGCTCATGTTCTAGAGTACTAACTTGCCGGAGAAGATGCTAGCTGATGAAACATGTACCCTCATCCCTGTTTTACTATTGTGTCTTCTATCTTATCAGTTGCCTTTATTGGGATTCCTTCTGGTCTTTAGTTTGTGTGGAAACATGGGTTGCTTTGTTACATATTCTTGTTTAGTTTTGGGTTCATTTAGCCTTTTGATGCTGCTCCTAGCTTTGGTAGACGATTTTGGAAGTGTTTTTTTGGTGCTCTTTATTTGGGTCTTTTTATTGTTGTAATGCATGACACTGCTTAGTTGTCTTTCTCAATCATTTGTGAAGGATTGCCAGTGTGTTATAAGGGTGTCAAATATTGGCCCTACACATCAATTCGACTCGAACCCAACTGAAAAAAATTTGGACTCGTGTTGACGAGTAATTTTCTGGTTTGATTCGGATCCAAAATCCCAACACATTTAATTTTTGGGTTTGGTTTGAGCTTTAGTTGACACACCAACCTAATTAACACTGATTTGACCCACCAATTTGAACATGACTCAAACCTGAATTTTACCCAAATAATTATTATGTTTATATTAAATGGTTATGCAGTGATAGGTTTGGGCTAGTCAGGTTAAAGTTGGCTTTGTTCGGGTTAGACTTTCAGCAGGTTGGGCTTAGGTCTAGCAGTTTCGGGCAGGTCAATTTTGCCTAGGCTTATGCACTCGATTTGACACCATTAATGTGCTAAATCTAGTTTGCACAGTATTTTTGTCCCTTTGAGTTCTTTAACCTCGGTTAATTGTAAAAATATCGCTCAAGAACGAGTTAGGTGCAGATTAGGTGCGGGTTGGTGGTATTGGGGTGGTATTCACCTCAATATCACCCTTATACCAACCATACCGCCAAAACTATAACATCTGTGCCAATTTACATGCTAATGAAAAGGAAAAAAGAAAAAAGGCTCGACGGTATGCTTTAGTTATAACAGTAACCATGTCTGCATTCGACCACACAGCAACAAAAGTGATGATATCTTAAACTAACCCACAGAACACTTATTTGAGCGGATTAAACTAAAGTGAACTCACTTCCAGCAGGATGACGAAGCTCCTCCTCATTCCACAATCTCAACAACCTTGAATTCCTTGTCAATGGATTCCTTTACAGCATCAAGCACAACCTGCGTCTTCCTACTAACCACCGGCCATTTCTTCTCAGGCGTAGCTCCCTTATCTCTGATTTCTCCAGCCAATCTAGAGAACTCCTCCACCATCCGAGCATCCTGCGGAAGCTCGGTCGGCACAACCTTCGTACTGGGTAACGCCGTCCATCCCCTCACAAGCTCCTTGAACCCAGATTCTGATACAGAGGTGAAAGGCGCAGAGTTCTCCTCAAAAGGAATCACGAAGTCGCTGAGAGATAAAGTTCCTTTGGATCCAACGATCATAACTTCAAATGTGAGGTGAGCGAGGAAGGAGCAGTGAAAGGTTGCAACAGTTCCGTCTTCCCAGTGCAGAGAAGCTCCGCATGAGAGAATTACTCCAGCTTCGTTCTTGACGGGGTTGGGAAATGCTGCGGCGGTTTTGGGTAAGTTGTAATTGGAAGCCCATAAAATGGCGCGGATGCAGTACCAGCCGATATCGCCGAGAGCTCCGAGTGCATCCAGGTCAGGCTTTGCACGTATGTTGTCATGGAAGAAATTGCCCTCCGCATAGACGCTTGCAATGCTGCTCACCTGCATAAATCTGATTATTAGATTGCGGAAAATCAGTCAGGCTTTGCACGTATGTTGTCATGGAAGAAATTACCCTCCGCATAGACGCTTGCAATGCAGCTCACCTGCATAAATCTGATTATTAGATTGTGGAAAGTCGAGAAAAACTGAGCGGTTTACAATGCATGCATGACTATTTCTAAATTTAATGTTCTTTTTAAGGCAATTATTGAAATTCAAATTGAGTAAAGTCATAGTTTGTGTTTTTCATTTTTAATGGTTTTTCATTCTCAATATAATTTGATCGTAATATGTATAAATTCATGAATTTGATGGTAAATTTTATTTCTTTTTATGTTTGTATTTTTTGGAGTCTTGTTTGTGATCGTAATATGTATAAATTCATGAATTTGATGGTAATTTTTTTTTCTTTTTATGATTGTGTTTTTTGGAATCTTGTTTATGTACTCACTAGTAGGGCTGTCAAAAAAAAACTCGTTGTTCCCGAATGATTCGTGTTTGGTTCGTCAATAAGCTCGTGTTCGATTTGTTCAATAAGTAAACGAAACGAACGCGAACATTTTTTTTCATTGGTTAGTTACACGAATCAAGCATGAACAGTGATGCCTTTGTTTGAGTTCGAATAGTTATTGTTCAAAATATAAAATAATTTAAAATAATTATATATAAAAAATATGATATTTTAAAAAATTAAACTTTATAAATTATAATATATAATAAATTTGCTGCCGGGGGGCCTCGTGGTCGCCGGCAGGCCGTTGTCAGTGATGAAGCGCCGTGCTTTCTCTTCGGATCTGCTTCCGACGGCGACGATGGTGGCGTTTGGAGAGAGGTTGATGGCGCGGGATAGCTTGCGAGCTATGTCTGCGCAGCCCATGATGCCAAATCGGATCGGCTGAGCCATTTCTGCTCACTCTGTGTTCTCAAAATCGTCAAAGAGAGCGAGATTTTGAAGGCTTTCTTTTTTTGGTTAGTGGTGGAGGTAGGAGGCGGCTACTCGCGAATTTGTTTTGCTCGAATTATTTATTTTTATTTATTTATTTTCCCTGCTTCAATTTTTAAAAATGAATATTGGGTTAAGGGGTGATAATTAGCATGAATTTTTAAAATCTTGATTTATTTAAAGATGAGTTTAATATATTAAAAGATTACACGCATGCAGCACAATTCCTATTTATTGTCATATATAAGACTTGAAAAGAAGTTTGATATTTATATTTATAACAATTTTCTAGTATGCTTATGCATGGCAAGGTATTTCACCTTGCATAACGTTTGCGAGCGGTTGCATTTGAGGAACTTCGGTACATAATCTTTAAAGTGTGTCATTGTGTGGGTGATAAATTGCTTCGTAGAATGCTCTGATCTCTGTGACATTGGTCATTACTTTGCACTGTATTTAGTTACTCCACAATAATGGTTATTGTTCGGTATAGTGCTTCATTATAACAAGCAAGGGGGGCTTCATAGAGATCGATGAAGGTCGGAGAGCTGTGATCGATAATGATCAGTGGTGGCATGAGTAGGAAGTGTTAGTTGGATATTCAATGGAGAACACTAGCTTTCAGTTTCTTCTCCAATTTTCCTTCTCAAGTTCAGATAATGGTCCCCTTTCATTAAAGGGTACTATTATATGTATAGAGTCTAGAAAATACCTCGAGGCAAATAAGGAAAGAATACAGAACACTTTGTCAGACGGTGTAAACAAATCCCCTCGATCAAATGATGTTTTGCATGCATTTAAGTGCCTTAACAGTGTCAGAATTGAGTGATATTGGGTTCGTTGGATTCGTCTCATTAAAACACTCGATTTGACTATAAGTTTGTCAATTTTGAAATTCATTTAACTCTCTAATTAGACAATGGAAGCTTTCAAGGGTGGTTTAGCAGTATGATCCGAGCTTAATTTGACTAAAATTTGACCAACTTTGGCATCATAATGTTCATCTCGTCAAGTCAATAATAATAATATATGAATATACTATATTAGTAATATACTAATATGTCAAATTAACTCGTCGTTCGCCAATAGCTCGTGTTCAGTTGGTGTTCGGCTTATTCGTCAAGAAACGAACACGAACAGTAACTTCGCGAATAAGTTCAAACACGAGCTTATTTCAAATAAATTAAATTTCAAATAAATCGAACATGAACCAAATTCTGTTTGTCCTTATTCAATTCGTTTACACCCCTATTTTGAATAGATAAATGTTGTGGAACGAAAGAAAACTTAATGATGCATCAATATATTCAAACATTAAAATTGTATAGCTTTAGTTAAAGACAAACTTCGCACCTACATAACTCCAGAAGAAATGGAATCCATAGCTGTAAAACTGGTTTAGTCAAGCTTTGCAACTATGAAAGTATAGAAATCATAAGCATGGATAGGCACAACTTCACTCTCAACTTACTATGTGTCTTTTCTATAAAATAAAAATTCCAAATCTTAAGCCTGAAATTTTTACTTCATATACATGCATGCATCCAAACCTGTATATATACTATTAGTTACACCACGTACTCAAATCAATTGATCCGACATCTGCTTGTCAGTTGTAAGTCTCATCTGATCTGGGGTTCAATTATCCTCGAGTGTAAGATGTAGTACTCGAATTATTGGAGCATGAGCGATGACCCGGCTGAGCCATTTCTGCTCACTCTGTGTTCTCAAAGAGCGAGATTTTTTTTTTCTAGTTGTGGAGGTATGAGACCGCTATGCTTTATTTGTAGGGTTCGCGATTCGCGAATCATTTATTTTAGTTGAATTATTTATTTATATTTATTTTATCTCCTTTGCTTCAATGTTTAAAAAAGGATATTGGGTTAAGGGTGGATAATTAGCATGAATTTTAAAAATTTTGATTTATTTAAAGATAAGTATAATATATTAAAAAATTACACGCATGCAGCACAATTCCTATTTATTTTCATATATAACACTTAAAAAGAAGTTTCATATTTATATTTATATCAATTTTCTGGCATGCTAATGCATGACAAGGTATTTCACGTTGCATAACTTTCGAGAGCGGTTGTACTTGAGGAACTTCGGTACATAATCTTTAAAGTGTGACATTGCGTGGATGACAAATTACTTCATATAATGCTCTGTTCTCTGTCACATTGGTCGTTACTTTGTACAATATTTAGTTACTCCATGATAATGGTCATTATTCAGTATGGTGTTTCGTTATAAGAAGCAAGAGGAGTTTGATAGATATTGATGAAGGACGGAGAGCGGTGATCGACAGTAATCAATGGTGGCATGAGTAGGAAGTGTTAGTTGGATCTTCAGTGGAGAACACTAACTTCAAGTTTCTTCTTCAATTTTTCTCCAAGTTCAGATAATTGTCCCTTTTCACTAAGGGGTATGATTATATCTATAGAGTCTAGAAAAAAATCTCGAGGCAAATAAGGAAAGAATACAGAACACTTCGTCGGACGTTGTAAACAGATCCCCTTGATCAAATGATGTTTTGCATACATTTGAGTGCGTTAACAATGTTATAATTGAGTGATCTTGGACTCATTGGATTTGTCTCATCAAAACACTCGATTTGAATATTAGTTTGTCAAATTTAAAATCCATTTGACCCTCTAATTGGATACTAGAAACTTTCAAAAGTGGTTTAACAGTATGATATGGGCTTAATTTGATTAAAATTCGACCAACTTTGGTGTCATAATGTTCATCTTGTCGAACCGTTCAATTTTATTGTAAGTTTGTTGAAATTGGAGTTATGGATGATTTTTAATTGAAATTCAGATATTCCTTGCTTAAAAAATTGCTTGAAGATGTATGTTACGTCTTGAGATTCCTGCGGCATCTTGAGATTTATGTCGAATGATGAAACTTTGTTGTTGGCATATCAAATAGATATGATCTTAAAAATTTGAAAAATAAAATTATGCCAATAGCAAGATAAATTTTATATGCATTTCTTTATAATTCAAAATTATTATTTTGAATAGATAAATGTTGTGGAACGAAAGAAAACTTAATGATGCATCAATATATTCAAACATTAAAAGTGTAAAGTTTTAGTTAAAGACAAACTTCGCACCTACATAACTCCAGAAGAAATGGAATCCGTAGCTGTAAAACTGGTTTAGTCAAGCTTTGCAATTATGAAAGGATAGAAATCATGAGGATGGAGAGGCACAACTTCACTCTCAACTTACTATGCGTCTTTTCTATAAAATAAAAATTCCAAACCTTAAGCCTGAAATTTTTACTTCATATACATGCATGCATCTAAACTTGTATATATATTATTAGTTACACCACGTATTCAAATCAATTGATCCAACATTTGCTTGTTAGTTGTAAGTCTCATTTGATTTGGGGTTCGATTCTCTTCGAGTGTAAGATGTAGTACTTGAATTATTGGAGCATGATTGATGACCGAGACTCATATCGAAGCCTCCAACCATTCATATATATATATATATATATAATTAGTTGTAGTTATTATAAACGTTACGGCTGGACCGTAGTGTTGAGCAAAGGACAATAAATAAATTAATCAATGACACGATTTAAAACATTATTATCACATATGGAAAGGTAGAGTTGTATTATGCTGAAGCATGCGTTGGAATTTTCCTAGGAGGGTGTCTATCAAGCTCTTATTATATTTATTTGCTTTAAATTGAAGAAAGATTTACATACATACCCCCCAGTACTTATATATTTACATATATAGCACATAAATTTTAATTTTTACATACATATATATAACTACCACATTGCCAATGCATGAAAAGAGGTATTTCACTTATTCAAAGTCATGATAGTAATATTTTTTCATCATGGGCTATGTGAAAATTGAAATTTAACATTCTTCGATGTAACCCAAATTTAATGGCAATACAAGAGAGGGGATGAGATTGGAAAGTTTGTCTTCTTCTTTGATTGATTGTTTGTTCTTGTCGCTAGTGTTTTCCTATTACTTAATTAAGTTATTACTAATTAAGCTTACTATTGGTCCATCTATATTTCTTTATTTGCTAATAAAGTGAATACAAATTTTAAAACAGTTGTAATTAAAAGTTAATCAAACTGAAAATTTCAGCTTTTGCAGTAATTTCTGTGATTTGCAGATGTATAAAGCGCTAATTAAGAGTTTTGGATCAGTATGTCTATTCTCTCTTTATGAAACTACGTACCATCAATTGGAGAGGGAAAAGGGTTTAGAAGAT